ACATTTCATCATTGTAAGGATTTATCCAAATGTTTGCTATGTGTCAGTCACTTTGCTAATCCCTTTAAGTATATTGATATATCTAATTCTTATTATACATTTATGACTTAACTGTTATTATTCCCAAGTATACACAAAAAGAAACACAGGGAATTTAAGCCACTCATCTGGTTCACTTATCTGGTAAGTGGTACAACCAGGATCTAAATACCAGCTGTAAGGCCTTCTCTATCACTGCCTTATGAGGAAAGGAAGGAAAATATTGTACCCTAAAAAGATGATGGTCATATACGAACATTTAAAAGTCAGTGTAAATGTAGTCCTCTCAGCCCCAACAAAAACATAACTATTTTTTATGAAAAAGAACTGCATCTACTGTAAACCATTCCCACCCAGCAAAGGGCATTCATTTCCCAACCACATTCTGCCTCCAAGACTCCACCTGCTTCCTGTGGCAATAAGTTTCTGGAAAAGTGTATGACTTGCCATGATAACTTAATGCCAGATCAAACAAGTTTACAGATACTCTATTATGTTCAGTAGTGGTAATCTAGAGGATGCAAGCTTCTATCTACCCTGACACAGCTCCACCAGAGTCCATTCACCTTTGGATCTCAACACAAGGAGAGACTTTCAGGGAGAAGACAGGTGAACACTGCTTACCTTATACAGCATGAAATACCTACCCACTGAGGTTCTGGAAAGAGCCCTTGTTAAGAACAGGTTCTTCTGGGAAAAGCCAAGTTCTCATTTGTTAAATGACTCATAGTTTAAGTTCCTGGCAAATTTCCCCTAAGCCTTTCAACTCTACCTGAGAAGAGACACTGAATGTTATGCAAACTGATGACAGCAAAGGTTGCAAAATGATTAGGTTTCTTTCCTGAAGTTGTGACTTTCTTAATATTCCCTTTAGGAATACTACCACACTATAAAGAAAGTGAATCAGAAAATATGGCAGGATGTAGGAAAAATGAGAGGTTATATTTCAAAATTGACATTGAAGTAAAAAATATCCTTTCACTAGGAATGGAAGCATAATTTATTCTTACTCTTTTTACTTTTCATGAGAATATATGACTTATTTACTTTTTAAGAATATATGTTACTTATATATTCTTCAATCATTTTGCACTGTAGACAAAGATATCTAGATATAAATTTTTCTCTTATTTTAAATATAAGAAGTCACTGTAAATAAAAACACAGTATGTATCACCAGAATAAAATTCTTGCCATATATCCACAAAATAACTCATAATAATCTTATTTATATTTTAATTAATAATTACTGAACTTTTCATTAAAATAATTGCTGCTCTTTGGGGAAAAAATCAATTTGAGGTATTCCAAATACATCCTTGACTAGAACAATAGTCTTAAATTTAGGAGCATTTGTTCAAATTTTATTTGGAATGCTTGAAGCTCTTATAGTAATTCTAAGGAGGACTTATACCAATACATTTTTTAATAGTTGTGATGAGGTAAATCTCTGTTTCACAGGATGAGGGAATGGATATTAGGATGTAGGTGAATGAAAAGGGATTTTCATATACCCTGTAAATAGTATGACCCAACTTCCTGAAAACCCACGCCATCATTTTCTCCACTCTCTACACCACACCCTTAAATTTATTAATGATGTGTTTCTCTTCTTATAAATAGTAAAATCTTTTCTTACATTAAAAGGGGAATTCCCCATGAGGTGGCCTGAAAATCAGAAACAATTGCTATGTATCCTCTATGCAAATAACATTGCTATTTATTGACTTAATCAAAAAATCCTTGTTCAGATCTGTGTTCATATGTGCATATATCTTTCTGTATTTCTTAATGTTTCCTTTAAAACAATTATATTACCTTTATAAAATTTAGATGGTCTAGTATGGAGATATGTAACTATGTATCTGTGTAGATAACATTTAATGTGCAGTTACTTTGTAGATCTGGGGAGACATCTCAAAAATAAGCAATCCTACTCTCAGTAAGATAAAATTTATTGTAAAAGATATAAGGATAAATAACATAAAGAGAATCATTCCATAAGCATTGGACTTTTATGGAAAGAGAAACCATATTTCTAAATGTGAGCCCCAGGTATACAAATTTTAGGTGCTACTTAGCAATACAGAGCATTTTCATATAGGCCAATGTAGTAAGCTCAATGTTGACATAAATTTATTTTCCAGAGAGTTATTAGTCATGTATTTAAAATTATAATTGCCTTTACCAAATCAAATTATATGTATGTGTGTAAATATAAATTTTATTCACCTTATAAAAGAGAAATTTTCTGCAAATTTTCCTCCTACTCAATAATTTGAACATTTGCATGTATTTGTGTTTTTAACATTTTTATGCGAACTTTCTGTTATTGATGTTAGACTTGGACTTCCAAATTGTAATGAGTTAGTAAGATTTTGGAAGGCATTGGACCTCCAGGTATCCCCCACTACTGCTGTGATTTCTGTTGTGCATTTTATTTAGTAAGGGTATTCTATATAGAAGCAAATGTCTGACTGCATTTTTCAAATATTAAGTGACCATTTTAGATTCACACTTTGTAGTGAGTCTTATAGCAAGGGGAAAACAGACCCCAAGGAGTCAGTAATGGAAAAACAGAAAGAGTAGTAGATTTTGGTACTGCTTTTCATAAATAATATCATAAATGATCACCAGTCTGAGACTTTAAACTATCTGGCATATAAAAAAAAGTAGTAGATTAAAGGTGTAAAGTCCACACTCTTGAGTGAGAGGGTTCAGTTTTCTTCATATTTGGTCAAAACCTTGTAGATGAAGAACCATAAAATACCAAGCTATCTTTCTAGGAGGAGTTAGGGATAAATACAATAGAAGTAAATAAAAATGAATACCTCACTAAGCTGACCTGAAGATTATATCATGATTGGCATTATTCCATTTGCATTGAATGCAATGCAGAACTGTAGAAGCCTAGGAGAAGACATTATTACCCAGAAAGGGGTGTCTGCCTTTTTGCATCAAAAGCCAGTGTGCTCTCCTTGGATAGAAAGACAGCACCCCAATAAGTGGGTTTGCTCACCAAGTCTGAGAGTCAAGGGTGCTTACTTACTTCAGAGACTTGCAATATCCCAGCTGTTGGAAAGCCAGCAACAAATCAAATCCACAGGCTGTGCCTTTGTGATTCTCACAGCCAAGTTGCACATATGACATGAAAACAAACAATTATGGTATAAAATGACATCCTGTAATAGAAATTTGTACGTAAGTAACAAGAGTTTAGGGAAGCAATAGCCAATTTCATCTTGGGAGTCACAAAATTTGAACTGAGTAACGAAGAATGAGAAGGAAATGTATACCTGGTAAAAAGGAAGTCAGAAATAGTGAGAGAGAGGGAGAGTCTAGACACATAAATGTACATGGAAAGATGAAAGAGCATGGCAGACCTAAGAAACTGCTAGTGTTTTCATGGAAGAAAACAAAAACTGTCTGTAGGGAAATGGTGGGTACAAAAGTATACAAGTACCTTAGTAAGAAGAAACTTGCTGGAGTTTGGGATTTATCCAATAGGCAGTAGCAGAACACTAGAGAGTTTTAAAGAAAAATTTATGTAATTAATTTGCCTCTTAGGAAAAAAAAGATTTTTATTCAATATAAAATGGATTTTCTGTTTAGTAAAAAGGGCAATATTAGAGGCAGAGCCTAATTAGAGACGTGGTAATATGATGAAACCACAGCAATTGTGAGATTATCCTTCCAAGAGCTTCTTACTTAATCAAAACTCTAGTGATAAAGGACACAAAACACTTGGCAATAAATTTGTAATGGGAAAGACTAAAATTTAATTTAAAAAGTGATTTTCAAAAACTTTCTTGCTAATATACTTTGATATGTTCACTTAGGCCTTGATGAGGCCTACCTAACTCAGATTCATCTTAAGTTTGCCTGACTATGGAAGTGAAAGTTATGTCCTCATTTCCTCCTCAGATTGTTTCTACTCTATTTGGTTCTATTTATAAGAACTAAAAAGGGATTTAACCTTGGTAAAGTAAAGGGGGCTGAGGTAGGAGGTACAAAAAGAACTAAAACCAAACCAAAACAAAACATTTTATTGCATTTTTTCCAAGGATTTTTGGGTATCAGTTTGCTTTAAGTGAAATGTGACTTTCTATAGTTATATCAATATAGTAATCTAAATTTATCTTTAAGAAGCCAACTGCTCTTTCTAAATAAGTTAATATATGTGCCATTTATTATGCACTTTGCTACATTTTTAAACATAAGAGCAAGAGAAGATAATTTTATAACAATAAATTTTGTTGATTACTATCTTTATTTTTCTTATAATTATTCCTTTGAATATTTGAGAACTGGAATTAATTATTTCCTCTTGACTTAGAATTTCAAGTATATATTTGGCATGCAAATTATACTATATGGAAAATACAACATCAACAATTAATAAGTAAAATCACATGATCATGTTTGAATCTTTTATTTTTCCAATCTGAGCTTCCATAAGTCCATTTCTATTATTTTTACATTATTCCCATTCTAATGTCTACATGGAACTATTGCCAGCCAAAAATCAATACTGTTATTTTCAACACAGATTTAGTTCTCAACCACAAAATAATGATTTAGCAAGATACCAATTTATTTTTAATGATTGAATTTATTGGAATGAAATTTCATTCGTGCTAGAAAGAGTCACTCATAGTCATTATGTATTAACTCTAGGAGTATTTTTCGTCAGAAGATGATGACACTCAAATGACACCCTAGTAACATAATAGACATGATTGATTACAGGGAGGTGACTAAAATTTCTAAAGTGTATCCAGTTGGATTACTTGTGTTATTCTTTAGGAATGATTCAGGAAATGGTCCTAGAAGTATTGCACGGATATATAGCTCTCCACACTTGGCTTTCTTGGGCCGTGAGAATGTCTGAGCTTCCAGCACATTGACCCACGTGTGGATATAACGAGCACAGTCTATTGACTTCTTTGTCTATTTGGATCATGAAGTGGATGAAAATACTTCTGGGTGTTCTTCTCTTTCATCTGTCTCTTTCTCAGTCTCCCCAAGTGTAAGTGATTGCATAGAATTTTGTTATTTCATGTGGAACCCAAATAGAGCTTGATATTAAAAATCAGAACTTGTTATATTTTTATTGCATTGATTAGATTTTAAATATATCCTTACATAGCATAGTAAACATGTTAATTTGTATAATGAATTCTGAATTTGAACGGTACCATTATCACTGTTAGCATGTCTGCTGATTAAATTATAACACAATATTTATACCAATGAAGAGATGTCAAACAATTGCTGGGGGAAAAAAGCTAGACAAACACTAGGCAAAAATGAAATGGAATGTGCGTATCAGTTCACGAGCAAAAGCACTGCATGAAGACACAGATGGTAATTTTCATAGAACTAATGACAAATTACTTGCTTTTTTGCAAGTGGTATTATTCTTGTTGAATTCACGAATCCAACTCACAGGCAGCATATTCCTATTTCATGAATTTAACATCCTCTAATTTAGCATGCTGTATGTCTCTAACATTGAAAAACAATACATATTTCTTAAACTGCAATCCTTTAGATAACTAAATAATAGCTAAGTATCAAATCATTTCTTTGACAATTTTAATGTTCCTGCTTAAATTTTGTAGGCAGTATGTTCTGCTGGTCCCTTCTGTTCTCCAAGAAGGCTCTTTGGATAAAGCTTGTGTTCAGCTTTTTAATGTGACTGAGTTTCTTGTTTTGACTGTCTCCATCAACTATGGTGAGGTCCAGACCAAAATACTTGAAGAGCAGGTTACAGGAGAAAATGTCTTCAAATGCTTCAGCTTTGAGGTAAACATTTCATTCTGCTCACTATAGAGAAAATACTGCAGGGGCATGAAAGGCACCCACAAAACTGACTTTTATGGACAAATGTTATTTGCTTGTCTATATAAAGTTATTTTAATGTTTTCAAAAACAATATACTCCTCAGTTTCAGATAATGTAAGTACAGTTATAAATGGAGGCAAGGAGAAAAGTCTATTTACTATTTTAAAAGAAATTTATTGAAGAGAAGAAAACACACACACACATACACACATACATATACACAGAGAGAAATGGAATATTTTAAGAAGGCTAGAGACGCAGCTCAGTGGTAGAGTACTTACCTAGCATCCTAGCATGTGCAAGGATCTGGGTTCAATCCCTAGTACCATCAACAACAACAGCAACAACAAAAAAGATAAAGGAGAATTTATTTAAATGATGAGATAATTTATCTAAATGATGTGACAGAAGCAAGAAAAATGAACAAGGTGGGTTATTCAATAAATGGAAACAACAAGTTATGGATTTAAATTCACTGGTTAATAACGCACAATTAGTCATGGAGATCTCCTGCCAAACACCAGTCTCATGAAGTATGTATTTATTTGCTCCCTAGGTTCCTCAGGCCAGATTGGACCCAGTGGCTTTCATCACATTCTCTGCTAAAGGAGGCACAATCAATCTGGAAGAGAGAAGAGCTGTGGCAATCAGCCCCAGGGAAAATGTGGTCTTTGTGCAGACAGATAAATCCATCTACATGCCTGGACAGAAAGGTGTGTATACCTACATTCTGTTACCCTCAGCTAATATCATTTATAGAATGTTGTAAATGATAGTACACAATACAAGCTCAGAAAATTTATTGCATTAAAATCTACTAGGGAGATTGCTTTAAAATACAAAATAGCTCATGTTACCTAAATGTTTGAAATTTGATTTCAGTATGTCTCGGGTAGGGAGCCTCAGAAACTATTTTTAAAGAATTTCTCAATATTCTAATAATATCTAGTAATGTATATGTTTGAAAACCATGACATTTCAACTTATGTGAATTTAGGAATCATGGTTGAATTAGAAATTAAAGAGCAACAAAGTGTTTCAAGAACATATTAAGAGCCAGGCATAGTGGTGCACAACTGTAATTTCAGCTACTTTGGAAACAGGCAAGAGGATCACAAATTCAAGGCAAGCCTGGACAACTTTTAGCAAGAGCTCCTCACAAAATTATAAAATGGGCCAGGGGTGTAACTAAGTGATAGAGTGCTTGCCTAGCATGCTCCAGGCCCTGTGTTCAGTTCTTAGTATCAAAAATACACATGCGCACACACACACACACACACACACACACACAGAGTAATGGAGAGACAGGTTCTCCTAGTGACTAAGTAATTGCCCTGCATGATGTTGAATTAAACTGAAAAGCCTTCTCCTGGGTTTAGAAAGAGGTAAGGAACACAGCTACAATCTTAAAAAGGCAGACATTTCTCATGAGCTAAAGGAACACAAGAAAACATGGAGGTAGAATTAACTCAAAAACCAGACCTTAAAATGTTAAAGAGATAAACTTATTTGGAGTAGAGAAAATAAATGGAAGGAATAAGAAATGAAGTAAATGACAGTTGAAGAAAAGCCCTGATTGTGAGCGGAAGTGGCATTTTCATGCAGTTGAGCAATATCTATGAGGCATCACTACGGCTTTGGGGATTATGCCATGATGAAACACTATGAGGATTATTCTGAGAAATCTGCACATATTGTTATAGCACATCGTTTTTGTAAGCCATTAGTATTGATGTTGTAATGAGTAGCACAATGTGCTTGGACAAGAAGAGTGGACATGAACATAGAGTAAAGGTTTGAGGAAAAAAACAGATCTGGGTGCTTCTATACTTCTGCTCCTCAAACAGGCTCCTTTTAAAAAAGAATAAACAAAAAATTTAAAAATATTACTTCTTTTGACATATGACAGGATCATGTTCTCATTAGACTTGCAAGTATGATCCTGTTGAATAATAAATTGAGATTTAATTTTTTATATATCTGTAATATAATATACGGTGACATTTATTTTTGATATACATATTGGGAAAATTCCATGCACTCATATTTTAAAGTTTAATGAAACATGCTGTTAAACCATTTTCATGTGTTAGTTAAAAATATATTTCATTTATGTGATGATCATTACTATCCAAAGTATATTTATGAAGACACCAATTGGCGTGAATATTCTTTGTATATAACCAGAGATATAAAAAATTGTGCTCTATATATGTAATACAAATCGTAATGCATTCTGCTGTCATATATAAATTTTTAAAAAATTTAAAAATATAATTCATTTAAACTAGATGTATTTTTTATTACAGCATTGTAGGTATACTTAGTAGTTGGGTTCATTTTGACAAAATCACACATGCAAAGAATTTTATTTCAATCCCCAACTTCCCCTCTTTAGCTCCCTCCACTCTCTCCCACTACTCTCCTTCCTTTGCTCTACTTTCTTCTCACTTCTCTATTTATTTTTGATTGGTACTTTCTACATATACATAATGGTGAAATTCCCTTTGGAATTTAACATGATTTTGTTAAATTCATTGGATAATTCCTTCCCTTTTCTGTTCTCCCTCCTTCCTCTTATTCTCCTACTGATCTACTCCATTGAGCTTTCCTATATATTTATGATATTTGATCCAGTCCCCAGCTGCCTTCATTCTCATAGATAGATAGATAGATAGATAGATAGATAGATATAGATGTAGATTTTTTTTTGCTCTGGATTTTACATTTGAGAGAAAAATTTGGCCCTTTATTTTTCTGAGTCTGGCTTATTTTACTTAGCCTAAGGTTCTCCATTTTCACCGATTTACCAGCAAATGCCATTATTTTGTTCTTCTTTATGGCTAAGTAAAACTCCCTCATGTATATATACTACATTTTCGTGATCCATTCATCTATTCACAGACATCTGGGTTTATTACATAATTTGACTATTGTAAATTGTGTTTCTATAAACACAGAAGTGGCCATATCATTATAATATGATGGTTTTCATTCGTTTGGATAAATACCAGGGAGTGGGAGAACTGGGCAAATGGTAGTTCCATTCCTAGTTTTTTAATGAGTCTCCACACTGCTTTCCAGAGTGGTTGTACTAATTTGCAGTTCTACCAACAATGTATGGGTGTACTTTTCCCCTGTATCCTGGGCAGAATTTATTAGTATTAATGTTTCGATAATTACCATTTTCACTAAAGTGAGATGAAACAGTGGTACAGTTTTGATTTGCATTTCCCTGATTGCTAGAGATGTTAAATATTTTTTTTCATGTATTTCTTGACCATTTGTGTTTCTATTTTTAAGAAATTTCTATTTAGTTCTTTGGCCCATTTAATAATTTGGTTACTTGAGGGCTTTTTGGCATTGAGTTTTTTGAGTTCTTTTATATATTCTGTTTATTAATCCAGCTATTTGAAGTTTCTGTTCTAATTACCAAGTCTTTGATGCATTTTGATTTCAATTTTGTACAGAGTGAGGAATAAGGATCTAGTTTCATTCTTGTATATATGTATATCCAGTTTTCCCAGTACCAATTGTTAAAAAGGCTATTTTTTTTCCTCCAACATACATTTTTGACACCTTTATCAAGTATCAGATGACTGTACCTATGTTGGTTTGTCTCTGCGTCCCACATTCTATTCTATTGGACTTCATGTCTATTTTGATGCAAATACTATACTGATTTTGTTATAGTTCTCAAGTATAATTTGAAATTGGATATTGTGGTGTCTCCTACATCACTCCTCTTGGTTAGAATTGCTTTGGCTATTCTGGGTATCTTGTTCTTTAAATTAATTTAAGGACTGTTTTTCTAGTTCTGTGAAGATGGTCACTGGTATTTTTCTTGGAATTACATTGAATCTGTATAACACTTCTAGTAGTATGGGCATTTTGACAATATTTTAATTCTTCCTATTCAAGAACATTGGAGGTGTTTCCATCTTCTACAGTGTTCTTCAATTTCCTTAGTGTTCTTCAGTTTTCATTGTACAGATCTTTCACCTCCTTGGTTAGATTAATTTCCAGATTTTTTTTTCATGTTATTGTGAAAGAGATGTCCTTCTTGAATTCTTTCTTAGCAGAATCACTGCTGCAGTGTAGAAAATCTATGATCTATGAATGTTGATCTTGTATCCTGCTACTTTGTTTAATTCATTTATCAGCTCTAGAAGCAATTTTTTAGGTCTTCTAAATGTAGAATCATGTCATCAGCAGAGATAGTTTGAGTTCTTTTTCCATTTGTATCCCTTTAATTTGCTTCTCTTTCTTGATTCCTCTGCCTAGAGTTTCAAAACTATATTGAATAGAAATAGTGAGAGTGGACATCTTTGTCTTATTCCTAATTTTAGAGGAAATGCTTTCAGTTTTATTCCAATCAGTATGATGCTGGCTTTGAGTTTGTCACATATAACCCTTATATTGTTGAGGTAAGTTCCTTCTATCCCTAGCTTGTCTAGCATTTTTAACAAGAGTCTGTGCTGGATTTTATCAAAAGCCTTTTCTACATCTATTGAGAAGATTGGATGATTTTGTTCTTCATTCTATTTAAGTGGTGAATTATGTTTATTGATTTGCATATGTTGAACCAACCTTGTCTTCCTTAGATAAAGTCTACTTGATCATGAAATATTATCTTCTTGAAAAGTCTTTGAATGTGGTGTGCTAATACTTTGTTGCATGTATGTTCATCAGGGATATTGATCTGTAGTTTTCTTTATGCATCTTTGCCTGCTTTTGGTATCAGGGTGATACTCACTTTATAGAATGTTTGGAAGTAGTCCATCCTTCTCAATTTTATGGAATAGTTTGAGAAAACCTGATATTTGTTCTTCTTTAAAGGTCTGGTGGAACTCAACTGAGAATTCATTAGGTTTGTGGTCTTTCTTCTTTTTTATTTTAAGAGAGAGAGAGAATTTTTAAAATTTATTTTTTAGTTTTCAGCAGACACAACATCTTTGTTTGTATGTGGTGCTGAGGATCGAACCTGGGCCGCACGCATGCCCATAGGCGAGTGCGCTACCCGCTTGAGCCACATCCCCAGCCCCGGGGTCTTTCTTTTTTGGAAGGTTTTAATTACTGTTTCAATTTCACTACTTGATATTGGTCAGTTTAGACTTTCTATATCTTCTTGGTTCAATTTGAGCAGGTCATATGTGCCTAGAAATTTGTCAATATCTTCTAGATTTTTCAATTTATTAGAATATAAATTTTCAAAGTAGTTTCTAATGGTCCTCTAGATTTCAGAATTGTCTTGGTGATATCTCCACTTTCACTTCTGATTTTGTTTACTTGGATCTTCTCTCTTTCTTTTTTTTGTTTCATTTGACTAGGAGTTTATCAATTTTATTTATCTTTTCAAAGAATCAACTTTTTGTTGCATTGATTTGTTGTATTCTTCTACTATTCTCAATTTCATTAATCTTGGCTCTGATCTGTCTTAAACTGATTTTAGAATTAGTTTGTTCTTCCATTTCTGAGTCCTTGAGGTGGAATATTACTTTATTTGGTTGGAATCTCCCTTTTTTAATTGTAATTTAAATGTAGGCATTCAATGCTGTACAATTTTCTTCTTAGAACTGCTTTCATACTGCCCCACAGATTTTGATATAATATGTTGTATTTGTGTTCTCATTTGTTTCTAAGAATTTCTTGAATCCTTGGGGCTGGGGATGTGGCTCAAGCAGTAATGCGCTCACCTGGCATGCGTGGGGTG